CAAAAATAAAGCAACAACATAAAAAGTAAAGCTCCAGGAAAAGAAAGGAAAGACAAAGTAAGGACATAGGATGAAAACACGAAAGGATCATCATAAGGAACATTAGAGTCTAAGTAGTTCAAATGCCTTCATTTAACAGTTGAGAATCACAAACTTGTAAAATATTTAAACTTTGTAAGCCTTAGTCTCCATGTTAATTAAGCTGGGTATAAAATTGCTGTGAGGATCTGAGGTGCCAAGTGTCATTGACCTAGAACAGTGTGTAGTGGCTCACAGTATCATTTCCCAGATTAGTAGCAGACTAGAGACTAGAACCCAGGTCCCTAATTCTAAGTCTACTTTGCTTTCCACTGCCTTCCCAGTCTTTCTCAGGTTGAGCTTATGGATAGGAGAGATGGGAGAACAGATTCAGTCTCCCAGAAATAAGTGCACTGCTCCTATCTCCTTTGCATTATCCCCCCTCCCTTTCTTCTATGGGCTGAATCCAGGGGAGTGAAGATGCTAATGTGAATATTTGGGAAGCAGGACCATCATGCCACTCTTCATAGAGATATACAAATTCCCTAAAAATGGAAGAATCCTTTCTTCCTCTGCTTTGGGCTTAATAATGGTAAATACCTATTGAACTGGTGAAACCCCCTCATAAATGAAGGGGATATTTTAGGACAAGAGAGCAGTCTAACAATAAACAGTTAGTGAGACTAATAGACTGTATATTTTAGTTGCTGCTTTTTAAATCATGGTTACAACACAAATAGGCACATGTATCTGTTCTTGGTCAATGAGAAATAAGTTCTTGGTAATACTAAGGTGGTTTAACCAGAAAAAGAAATGCAGTTTTGATTTCTTCAATATATGGTATAGGTAGAACTAAGCTTTAGGTTTTATAAATGCTTGTTATAACATTCAGCCTGACACTAAGCTAACTTTCATTTATTCTAAACATTTGATTTATAGAATTATACTTGAAAGAAGTTTTAAATAATAGTCAATGGATGTTTATGGGAGGTTATTTTGCACTTAATCACACAAAAAAGGCAAGTTTTGTGGCAAAATTTCTCTTTTATTGATAATATAATTTTCAGTAAAATTTTAGGTAATCTATATATATAAAAGCCTAAGAGACTGTTACTACTGAACGACCAAATGACTGGTCGACCAGTTGCTATGACGTGCATTGACCCCAGGGGGCAGATGCTCAATGCAGGAACTGCCCCCTGGTGGTCAGTGTGCTCCCACAGCCAACCTCCTGTGGTCCCTCCCCATGGCCTGCAGGCCCCGATTGGCCCCTCACCCCCAGCCGGCCAACCTCCTGAAGTCCCTCCACCCTCCACACTCCTCCCCCCCGACCCCCGCCCCAACCTGCCAGCCCTGATCATCCCGATAGGGACTGAGCAAGATGGCCTCAATAGGCCCTGATCGCTGGCCAGGCCAAGGGACTCCACCCGTGCACAAATTCATGCACCAGGCCTCTAGTGATAACATAATTTTCAGTATAATTTAAGGGAACTGATTATTGATTACAACCGCTGCAGCTGCTTAGGGATTTTCTAATTTATGTGCCTATGTAAAAACATATGGTTCACATTAAAAATTTTTTTAAAGCATAATAAGTACAGTAAGTCAAGAGAAACCAATCATAAAAATACACAATCAAAATGTCAAGATTACCTAGGATTATTTTTCAAAAACAAAAAATTTATTTCTTACATATGGTAGAGAACAATATGTTGCTTCCATTCATAAAATTTGTAATTATTTACAGTGACAGAATTTTAAAAATTATTGCTCACTGATTTTTAGCAATTACTGACATGTATTCTAAAATTCAATACACACCTTTGACACAGGAACGGGAGATAAACATGTCTGACCACCGGCACTGAAATTGCAGAAAACCTCAATGGCATCTGAAGGGCATCCGAGATTTGGATCAATCCAATATTTTCCTATTAATTTATTGTAAACCATAAAAACATGTAAATATCATATTAAAAATATTGAAACATCTCTACAAATTATCATACTTTAAATATATATTTCATCTTACCTGTAAAATAACTAGATTATAGAAATACTTATACTTAGTAAATAAATGGGAAGGTGCAATCATTATATAAAATTAATACTGAAAATATATTTTCACATATCTATCAATCTAAGGGAAGGCATTTCATAATTTTTATAAAAATTATAAAGTGGCTGAATTTATTGCTTCATTTTACAGATAAGATGTGCTGAACACCTTAAAATGAATTGTCTGAAGTTACATAGTTGATAAAAAAATTGGACTTAATGTGATATATGTGTATTTTGTTCTATATTTCTTAAAATGAATATTTTCTTTTAAATAACAGAAGAAACTTTGGCAATCTCCCTGAGGTAAACTATATCTTTATTATAATAATAATAAAAATAATAAAGCTTTATTTTTGTTTTCAGAAAGCAAAATGTACAATAAAATGGTTATCATTTTTGTGCTTCTTCATCAGATTTGTAAGTGGGAAAAACTAAAATCCCAACAGCCAGTGTAAGACTGTCTCCACTGAGGGCCCAGGAGGATCAAATGGGGCCTACAGTTAGCCTATAGAAAACACTAAGGCTGAAAAAGTATTGAGCTGGTATATTAATTCCAGAATAACAGGCTTAGAGTATTGAAACTGCACCTTATTCCAAATGCAATGACAGATATTCTTTAACGAGGTAAAGCTAGGCTACAATTTGTATGGATGTCCCTTTTCTTCCTAGAATGGGGTCCTTTGAAAGCCTAAGTCCTACCTCAGGTGGACCACAGATTCTTTCTTTTGACCCCTAGCCTTATGAAGCCATCAAAGGCACCGCTCCGTTCTAAGCACACCCAGAACAAAAGTAGCTCTAGCTGTTGTGCTCACTCCTCTGTCTTCTCCAGAAGCTTGGCTTGACAAGATATGGGAACAACCGAAGTGTCTTTGATAGATGATTAGATACAGATGATGGGGCACAAACAGGGTGGGGAAATGTTTGTATGGAAAATAATAAATACAATAAGTAATAAATAATAATATAAGAATAAACTCTGTGTTTCCCATACTCACAGCTGTAAACCAACTTTTGCTCCACCCTATATATACAGTGGAATACTGCTCAGCTAGAAACCTTTTTTGCCAGATTTTTTTTTTTTGTAGCTTGTTCTCATACCTCCTCTTGATATTGCTTAAATGTCACTTTCTCAGAGATGTCTTATCTAACTTCACCCCCATTCCATTTTCTATCATATCCCTCTGAAGTGGTGTGTTGTGTTTCTCTATAGCATTTACCACCTCCTAGTGATAAAAGTATTTTTGGGATAAAGACCATTCTTATATATTGCAATCCACACCAATTAACTATTTCTCCAACAAGGAAGGTAGACCTTGAATTAGATTTCATTGATCTTTATGTCTTATGATGTCTTTGTTCCTTTCAATTCTTTAGAATTGCATTTTTATGCCCTCAATGAAGGGAAAGAATCTAATTTAGAATTATTATGGACAGCTATAATTATAAATATTATTTTAGTTTTTATACTAATCTAGGGTATAAAATATATGTATAAGTTAAACATTTTATTAATATATATAAAATTAATATTTTCATTGTATTTTTTAGAATGGAAGTAGATGTTTGTTGATAAGAAATTGTGTGTGTGTATATGGTATGTATATATAAAATTAAAATAAATAAAATATGGACTACTATTCACCCTACAGAATAATATAATTTAGTTTTCCCCCCAAATCAGCTTATGTGTCATTGTGTTGGTACTAGAGTTTTTAGTAAAAACTTATAACTACTAATATTGACTGTATGGCTGACTAATAAAAATTAAAATTAAATGACATATTGTAGCAGATAGGATTTCGCCTTCTTATCATCAAATAATGATGACTACTCCACTCACTTTAAAACTTTTCCTTGCCCCCCCCAAAAAAACATTCAGTAAGAAAGGTTATAATTTGCCCCCCCAAAACAAACAAACAAACAAACAAACAAAACAAACAGAAAACAAACAAAAAACCTTTTCCTTACGGATTCTACTCTATATTTATTTTGCACATCTAGTTAATGGTTACTGGGGTACTTGTGTAGAGATAAGAAAATTCCAAAAATAACAAACCACTCAGCTTTTGTAGTCACCAATTGTGAAATGAGGCATGTAAATTGCATTTTGTGTAAAAACGATAATTTTAGGAGGTGGAGGGAGTTCTATGAAATGTTTCTTTTTGTTGCTAACTTTGGGGGTCCTGATAGAGGCTCCTGTCAACCCAAAAGTCCTCTCTTGCCATTTTAATTTTAACATGAAGGTGATACATTCCAAGAAAAAAGTGTAAGCAAGTGAGTGATACAGGAAGGTAAGAGAGGGAAAAGTTAGGGATCAATAGGATGTGTAGTAGAAAACCTTTGCCAGGTGAGCCCTCAGAAAAGGATACTCTGAAGCATGTCTTCCTCAAAGAGCATTTGGTTCTTGATGACACTAAAATGCCTTCTGTCAGGGTTTTATCAAAATAATTAATATTTGGAATGAACACACTGCAAATATCAAACACACTGAAATGATTCAATGAAATTACACATCTGAGCTCGAGGAAACCAAGAATTTACCATCTGATACTTTGTGTTCACAGTTGAGCAAATCTTTGCAGATTCGTGCTGGGTTATCGCGTGTGCCAAGAGGATTCTTGATGCTGTGCAGTAAATTGCTAAGGTAGCTCAGGGTTTTGAATATCTCTGCACTGTAGTCAATTAAAGTCACTTCAGTATTCTGGTAGCTCTGCCAAGTCATCATAAAAATGATGTTAGCAAAAACCCATAGAGTAGCCATTAACAATAGTAACTCTAATGATCAACACAGATCAACGCAGAAGGAAAATGTATTCCTATTGTGTGCAATGTTTTGGGAGTAGGATGTAAAAAATGGTTTATCTTTAACAACAGGCATTTGTGCATGCTTTATTAATTTTGATCCTAGAGATTAAATTTACACTAGAAGTCTAATTTTCAAGCTGGCATAAATATAACAATTACTATGCCTACTACAAAATATATATTTTTAAAATCATACATTGAGTAGAGTTTAAATAAGAAAAATAAGTAGTGATGATAGGTTTCATGTTAAGAAATGGCAATTTCATTTTGTTATTTTTCTTTGGTACTACCACATTCCTTATGTAAATCCTTTAATAAGATTACATTTTTATTTTAAATGTATCCCTTAAAAATTCTATGTATATTTCTATTTATTAAAATCACTTACATTGTCCTTAAAATGGCTCCATTATTTTAAACCTGTTTTAAGTATAATATTTGAGATAAACCCACATGTTGGCCTCCAAAAAATTTCTGTTTAATTTGTATACTGAGACTGCCAATGTAAATAAAGCTAGACATATTACCTCCATCTGTAGGGCAGTATGTGATTCAAACAAGGCTTGAATAGCAGCATTGATATCCATTTGTTTCTGTGTAAAACAAAACTATTTTAGATCAGCAATAAGATCAACACCAAGTGCTCTAAAGCAAAGGCTGTAAATTCTGAAAGCACTGCTATTAAAAGTATACTAGACTTAGTATCTGAGAGGGGTTTATACCTCTATGGTTAGACAGATCTTGCAAATATTACCTGGCTATCTGAAAGGACAATATGCTGCCTTCATCCAAATTTCTAAAGCCTCCTAATTAAAAAAGGCCCAACTCTAGAGCTTTCCAATGAAAAACTATTTGTCGCTGCTGCATGAAAACACACACAAAATGACTCAAGGGGAAGAAGAATGAAATATGACCCCCTTGGTTAATAAATTGTAAAGTGAAGAATAAATAACTGTAGTAATTTTTGAGTTACATTCTTGGAAGGAAAATAGAATAAATACTACTGTGTTGAGGTAGTCACATTAGTTTAATCTGATACTTCTGCGGTCTTAAAAAACAATTTCTAAAGTTGGAAAATGTACCATTAGTCCCCAAAGAAAAAATACAATATAAATCCAATCTCCTCCTACATTTAATAAGAGATATTTTTAGAGAAAGACTCAGCAAAACCATTAGTAAAAATCTTTCTTGTGTTTTAGTTTTTAAAAAGGTTGGAAACTGAGAAGCATGAGTTGAGAGAAAGTTCTGAGAAATGGCATCTGTATGAGCCAATCAAGCAATCTAATTTCTTTCAGAATGATTGCACTGCTAAGATGATCTTTTTACTTGGAGGTCCATATAATAGAAACTGTTTTTAACAGATCTTTCATAGCTCATGGTTGGTAATTTGAAAAACTATTTAAAATGATGGGACAGTCAATAAAATGCATTCTTCCTTGCCACAACATGTGGTTTTCATATTGGAAAATAATTGAATCATTCTGTATACATACACTGCCAAACACTGTGATACAAACTGAGGATAAAATGGTGAGCAAAAAAGAAAATTGCTCCTGTGGAGCTGAAGTTCAAAGAGGAAAAAAGGCATTAACCACATCACCTCAAAAGTACATAATTACAAATTGTGGTATGTGCCATTAAAGAAAAGCACATGGACCTCTACGGGAAATTAGGGATTCTGAATCAACTCTGGAGGTCAGAAGAGGTTTGGAAAGGAGAGACCAGGGAAGGCTTCCTTGAAGTTGTGACTTCTGAGCTGAGATATGAAGAATGAATATGATTATTAGAAGAAGGGGTTGGGAGAGCTTTGTAGGCAGAAGTAACTAACAACCTTGTACAAAGGCCATGAGACAGAGAAGCATGGCCTATTCAAGAAGCAGAAAGGGTTAGCCTAAAAATTTCTGTGCAGATTAAATAGTTTGAACCACCATGTTTATGTGAATGGGCAGATTTTGGATATGAGTCACACAAAAATATTGGCACTAAACGTGGACAACTGAATTCAGTAATAAACAATAGCCACCTTCATATTTTCCAGTTGGTTTGTAATTAGGGCTTTAATCTTACAAAACCTAGCATAGCAGTTCTGAGTTCTTCAGGCTTAGGATCCTTTTGCACTTTTAAATATTAGTAAGGGCTGTAAACAACTTTCTTTTATCTGGGTTATAACTTTTGATATTTACCATAGTAGAAATTAAAACAAAATTTAAAAACGATTTGTATTAATTACTTTAAAACAACAAATCCATTATATGTAAATACAAACTATTTTTTAATGAAAAGTAATTACAATTTTCCAAAACAAAATAGTGATAAGCGTGGTATTGTTTTACACTTTGTTCATCTCTTAATTATCTGGACTAATAGGAGATAGTGGATTCTCCTATTTGCTTCTGTATTTAATGTTATATATTATTTTAGTTGAATTATATGAAGAAAGATGGCTTTATAGAGATACAAGCTGGAAGAAAGGTCATTTTAGTGTCTTTTCAGATAATTTTGGTATTCTTTCTTAAAGTGATTTAAAAATATATTTTTTTATTGATTTCAGAAAGGAAGGGAGAGGGAGAGAGAGAAACATCAACCACATCAGAGATCCAGCCTGCAACCTGGGCATGTGCCTTGACCAGGAATTGAATGTGACCACCTGGTTCATAGGTTGATGCTCAACCACTGAGCCATGCCAGCTGGGCTTGGATATTCTCCTTTGATACTGTATCAAAACTTGATAAGTGGTAGTTTCAATATCAATAGGGAGATAGAAATTAAAGAACCAAATTCTGTAGTTGAAAGACATAATAACTGAAATGAAAACTTACTAGAGAGGGTCCTAGAAGGTTTGGCTCAGTGGATAGAGCCTTGCCTGTGGACTGAAGGGTCCAGGTTTGATTCCAGACAAGGGCAAATACCTTGGTTGCAGGCTCAATCCCCTGTCCCAGGTCCGGGCGGGTGCAGAAGGCAATGGATTGAAGTGTCTCTGTCACACAGATGTTTCTCTCTGTGTCTCTCTCATCCCTCTCACTCTCTCTAAAAATCAATAAAAAGTATCCTCAGATGAGGATTTAAAGTTGTGTGTGTGTGTGTGTGTGTGTGTGTGTGTGTGTGTGTGTGTTTTACTAGAGAGGCTCATCAGTAGATTTAAGTAGACAGAAAAAAGAATCAGTAAATTTAGAGATAGGTTTATTGATATTATCCAGTCAGAGGACTTTAATGAAAAAGAGTGAAGAATGTGAAGAGACTCAGAGGCCTATAGGACAAATTAAAGCACACAAACATATGCATAATTAAATTTTCAGAAGAAGTGGGAGAGAGAAAGTGGCAGGAAAAATATTTTAAGAATAGTGACTTAAAATGTTCCAAAATTTATGAGAAACATTTATCAAAAGATCCAAGAAGCTCAATAAACTCCATAGACACATCATAATCAGAGTGTTAGAAGCTAAATACATAGAGAGAAACCTGAAAGCAGAAAGAGAGGAGCTACTCCTCATGTCCAAAAGATCCTCACTATCAGCAACTGATTTTTTATTAAAATAATAAAGATGAGAAGGCAGTGGGATTACATTTTCAGAGTGCTGAAAGAAAAGGACTGTTAACCAAAAATTTTATGTCCAGTAAAACTATTCTTCAAAAAATGAAGATAAATTAAGACATTTTCAGATAAACAAATATTGAGGCTGTTCATCACTAGCAAGTCTTTCCTGAGAAATAATATAGGAGACTTTTAGGCTGAAATTAAAGGATACCAGGCAGAAAATTGAATTCACATGAAAAAATAAAGAGCACTGGTAAAGGTAACTATATGGGTAAATCTAAAAGGCAGTGTAAATCCCAAATAGCCATAACAATCTTGAAAAGAAGAACCAAGTTGGAGGTCTCACACGTCAATTTAAAAACTTACTACAAAGCTACAGTAATCAAAGCAGTGTTATATTGGTATAAAGATAGATACATAGTCCAATAGAATAAAACTGAGTCCACAAATAAATCCTCATATATAGTCAAATAATTTTTTACAAGGGTGCTAAGACCATTCAGTAAGGAAAAAAGAGTCTTTCCAACAAATAGTGCTGAGAAAATTTGATAAACACATGCAGAAAAATGGAGTTACACCCTTGCCTTACATCAGATACAAAAATTTACTCAAAATGGATCAAAGAGTTAAATATAAGAGCTGAAACTATAAAACTCTTAGAAGTAAGTATAGGGAAAAAGCTTCATGACATTGGATTTAACAATGATTTTTTGGATATGACACAAAAAATAAGGCAACAAAAGAAAAAGGAAATAAACTGGCTTACATAAAAATTAAAGACCACTGTGCAAAGGACACTATCAACAGAGTGAAAAGGCAGGCCATGGAATGGGAAAGGATATTTGCAAATTACCTATCTGATAAGGAATTAACATTCAGAATACCTAAAGATTTCCTACAACTTAACAAAAGCAACAAAACAAAAACAAGCAACCCGATAAAGAAGATATATAAGCCAATTTTTCCAAAGAAGATTTTGAATAGACATTTCCTCAAATGAGATATATAAGCCAATAAGCACACAAAAAGATGAACAACATCACTAATCACTAGGGAAATGCAAATCAAAACCAGAGTTAGGTACCACTTCACACCCATTAGGATGGCTACTATAAAACCAAATAGAATATAACAGGTGTTCTCAAGATGTGGAGAATTTAGAACCCTGTGCATTGCTGGTGAGAAAGTGAAATGGTGCAGCTGCAGTGGAAAACAGTACAGCAGTTGTGCAAAAGGTTAAGCATGGAATTACCACATGATCCAGCAACGCCACTATGCTGAAATGTACTTAAAGCAGGGAGTCTTAACAGATGTTTGGACACCTATGTTCATACCAGCATTATTCACAATAGCAAAAATATGAAAGCAATCCAACATTATCCATCAGTAAAATCAAAATGTGGTAATACACACAATGACACATGCTACAATGTGGATGAACCCTGAAGACATATGTTTAGTGAAATAAGCCAGTCTAAAAAGGAAAAATACTGTATGACTTCACTTCTGTGAGGTACCGAGAGTAGCCAAATTAATAAAGATAGAAAGTAGAATGGTGGTTGCCAGGGGCTAGGGAAAAGGAGGAATGGAGAATTATTATTTATTGAATATAGAGTTTCAGTTCTGGAAGAAGAAAAAAATTCTAGGCATGGTTGCACAAGAATGTGAATGTACTTAATACCATTAAGCTGTACACTTAAAAATTATTAAAATGATAACTTTTATGTTATGTATATTTTACCACAATTAAAATAATAAATAAGTTAATATGTTCATTATCCCTTACACCTAACCAGCTCACTTCTGGAAATTGGTCCTATAGATATTCTGTGAACTGATATGTATATGAATAACACATTTGTACTGTTTGTGTCAGGAAAAGATTGGGAACAACTTAGACACCCATTAACAGAAGCCTGAATGGATGAATAAATTGTACATTTTGAAGTGAAATGACCATGTTTCATTTTGTGTGTGGCAATAAAAACACAATGACTTTTAGTAGATTAGTAGTATACAGCTTGGTGCTGCATTTATGCTAAGGTACTAGAAATTTTAATCACCATCAGTGCAAATGTCAACTCAATAAAAAAGGCAACTTTTATCAATAGCCATTGAAAAGGAAAAAGGTCATAACACTTGGCCACTCGTGGATTTTGTTGGCAATATCTATAATCATATAATTTCCAATGTATTCACAAAGCTCGCTTCATGCCTCACCCATAGTAGGCATTTAATGTGCTGACTGTTAATTTTTTCTCAAGGGTAGCCTTTAGGGAAGGCAGGCCCAAAGAGACTATTAAGATAATTTGCTTTGGAAGTCATTCAACAACATTTAAGAGCACATATCTGAATGTAAAACTTACATTAGGTACAGTGAGGGAATCCCAAAGAAGTAGCTTCCTCCAAGTATTCTAGTTAGAACATATTCTTACATGAAAATCACTTACTGTTTATAGAAAAGTGACATAAAATAGAATACAGAGAATGAGAGCTATCAGATTGGGGAGACAAGGAAGCTTCATTATAACTTGGGGGAGTATGATTGTCACATTTCTCTCACAATTTATTTGAATGAAACGTGGACCTGGTCAGGGCACTCCAGTATTTTGAGAATTCTTATTTTCCAGGCATCTTAAAATCACTGGATGATGCAAACATTGATGGGATAGGAACTGATGTCAGGTCACACACTTCTCCAGGTTGAAGTAATTGCTTATTCTAGGGGACCAGGATGGTACCAGCAGTTGTAACTCCTCAAATCACCAATCCAGGTTTCACAGTTGACCCATTAATTAGAATAATTGAATTGAAAATTCCTTATCTCATTTAATGATTTAAATGATTACTGTTCCCCCTACATCAGACACAGACATATACACACATCCTATTCTTCCCTTTATCCCACCAATCATTTTTGGTTAAGTTTGACTTCTTGTTTATTTCTTTGTTAGTTTTTAGGTATCTTACCATGTGCCCTGAGTTTCAGTCATCACCATGGTAATTCAAAAGCACCATCAATTTATGTCCCTTTTCCTGAAACACTTCCCTCTAGCTATTCTATTTTAGGAACTTGAGTAACTTACTTTATTTTTAAAAGGGAATGAGATTAGAAATTTTCAAACTTTTCTCATCTTGACCCATGGTAAGAAATGCATTTTACATCATGACAAGATTCACACAAACAAACATATATTTAACTGAAAAGTTTTGCAATACAATATTTATTCTTACTAGTAGAGATACACTGATTTTTGTTTTATTTATTTATTTTTTTGCTTTTATATTGACCCAGGGTGAAAGGAAGAACAGAAAAGTTGACAGTAATTTGAAGATTTAAAGAAAGACATCTGCATTGATATTCATTCCAGGGAAGGTTTCATTAATCAGATGGACAGAAGGGGGAGTAATTTTTAAAAATCATAGAGAAATGAACCTCCCATTTCCAAGGAGACAGTCTTCCTTATGGCACTTTGCTTGAAAGTTATTCCCTACTCTGATGAAAAGCTGAGAGGGATGAAGAGTTTCTGACTTCTGTGAGTAGGCCATAATGATCAACCAACTAGAATGCCACAGATCCAAATGACACCAGAGAAGCACGTGGAAATAAGTAAGGCTTGGAGGGCATGGGACTGGCCATTGTTTGGGATAGCGTCGCCAACAGTGGATCTCATTTATGCAGGAAATCTAACCAAGGACCACTGTATTTGACCAGGATGCTGTAGGAGTGGGGTGTGGGTGAGGTTGGGGATAGAAGGAGATCCCTTATAGATGGCAGGAAGATAAAATGGATACAGAATACAAGGGAAACAAAGCTGGGAACATGAGAAGCCAGGAAATAGTACCTGACAACGAGGCAACAGAAGCATTGCCTCAAAGATAAGGGTAGCAAGCTTTGGGTTGTAATAGGTAACAAGAAAATACATAAGAAGTCTGAGGGCTTCTATAGCCACCAGCAACTGAGAAAGATTCATATGAAGCTTAACAAGTGAATAACTCTGATTGGAAGAAAAAAAAGGAGAGCTAGGGACCAGATGTAGGAAGAAATGGAGGGAGTTAATATTTTTTGACCAATCATTATGTCAGGCTCTGTGCTGAGTGCTTTACTTCTTATTTAAAGCCATCTCAGACAAGAAATCTGAGGCTTGGACTTGATGTTATTATAGCTGGGAAGGTTCTATACCAGATTAGCAAAAAGAACAGAGGCAGGTGAGAGGGGCATGGAGGGAGTTAATGGGAGCTTTAGAAAGTTAATGAGTCACTAAGAAAAAATAAACAAAACCAAGAAAACTTACTCTTGGGCCTGGTGCTCCAGGTGGACCCTATGGCATAACAAATTAAAAAAAAAATTATTCAGTAAATATCTCAAGTCAGGCAAACACATAAGCCTCAATGATACACAGATATAAATATAAATAAACTCACAGGAGGCCCTGGTTGACCTCTTGGTCCTTGGGGACCCTAGAAGAAATGGAGACAAAGCACAATATGTATATATTATGCTTTTGATTTGATATAAACAAGACAACGAACAGTCAACCTCTAACATTGCCTTTTTGTGTGAGGCAAGTCTTAAGATACAGAGTTGTATTAAAATTATATGCTCTTGCCAAAACCGGTGTGGCTCAGTGGATAGAGCGTCAGCCTGCGGACTGAAAGGTCCCGGGTTCGATTCCGGTCAAGGGCATGTACCTGGGTTGCGGGCACATCCCCAGTAAGAGATGTGCCAGAGGCAGCTGATCGATGTTTCTCTCTCATCGATGTTTCTAACTCTCTATCTCTCTCCCTTCCTCTCTGTAAAAAAATCAATAAAATATATTTAAAAAAAATTATATGCTCTTGCATTCAGTTATCACCCACATTCATGAACAAACCGGATATTTATTTTCATGTATTATTTATATTAGAAACTGAACTTACTCACATTAATAAACCATCATAAATATACCACTTAAAAATGTTAATACTAAGTATGTTTTTCCCGTTCTTTCTATCTAGCATTCACCTAATTGTCAAAGATGAAAATTTCAGTGTTCTTAGATCTCTCTTTCCTTCAACATCCACCTATAAGTTGGTTACCAGCTATATTGATTTCACCTCTAAGTCTTTCCAAAATACTACTTCTCCATCCTCACAGCCCCATCTTAGTTCAGTGCTAGTCATGTGCTGTGAACTGAATGTTTGTTTCCCCCAAATTCATATACGGAAGCCCTAATCTCCAACGTGACGGTATTTGGAGGTGGGGCTGTGCAAAGGTCATGTGGAGCCTTCCAACAATATAACATTTATTAGTTCTTTTTTATTGATCTTGCTAACACACCATTAAGGAAAAGTAATGAATGGTAGTGGTCTTTTAAGAGGAGACACAAAAGAGATGATTTCTCTCTCTCTACCATGTAAGGAGATAGCAAGAGGGTGACCTTCTGAAAACCGGGAAGAGAACCCTCCATCAGACTTGAAATCTGTCAGCAGGTTGATTTTGGACTGCCCAGGCTTCAGAACTGTGAGAAATAAAGGCTTGTTGTTTAACCCTTCCAGCTGATGGCAATTTGTTAAAGCAGCCCTAGCTAAGACTTCATGTTTTGCCTGGATTGATCTTCTGATTTCCTGCCTGAATTTATTCTCTCTACTATGCTAATTACATTCTATGTATGAGATGGAAATCTAATTGTGTAATTACTTAGTTGAAATTATTCAATGGCTCTTTATTGTTTAGACAATAGAGTATAAACTTCTGAATTGTGATAGCCACCATTTATTGGGAACTCACTAAATGCCAAATTGTATGCTATATTCCCATTTTACAGTCAAGAAAAGATAGTGGTTAAGTAACCACAAATAAGGGGCAGCTCGGATTAAAATTCAAGTCAATTGGATACAAAAGTCTATGTTTTTAGTTAATGGGCACCTGGGCCTCTCTTCAAGGTCTGGGTCTCACTTCCACTCGCTTACCGCCCCCCGCCCCCCAACATATCCAACACTCCATCTTAACCAATGACTTATAGGTCTCTGAATTTTCCAAGTTCTTTCATACATGTATTCTTTTGCATGTACTATTTCCTGTCTAGGAATGTTCCTTCTTACCTTTTCTGTCTATTTAACTCCCATTCTTCTTCCAATACTTCTTTACTGGTAAAACTCGATACCGAACTGCCAACCCCATGTCACCTCCCTCTTGCTCAACTAACCACTTCTTCTGCATTCCACAATACATAACACATTGGAAAGTCCCCAGGGACCCTTGAAAGTGACTTAGTCATCTTTGCATTTTCTGAAACAAGAATAGTACCTAATACACAGTAGGTGTTCAAAAGTTGTTATTGAATGAGAGAATGAATTATATCAACATTAGCTATATTAATTAGAAATTAGAATAGTTAAAACATGCATAGCAAAACGTGAAAAGTTAGTTGACATTTTCCAAAATAAAACAATAATAATCATGATAGAATGGGGGTTACCAGAGAGGAAGGGGGCTGGGAGAAGGGAAAAATGGGTAAAGAGGATCAGATATATGGTAACAGATGGGAATTAGTCTTTTTGGGGTGAGCATGCAATAGAATACACAGATATTGAAGTATAATGCTCTCTACCTGAAATTTATATATCGGTATTAACCAAAAAATTTTTTAAAAAAAATAAAGTTCACTCAAAATTTGCTTTGCTTCATGGTCAACTGAATGTTAAGACTATATTGGGTTAAATTTAGATTATGGTTAAAATATAAAAAAGCAAAAGTTATCTTCTGCTGAATTTTAAATACGGTTGTATTAAGCATGTTTTATTGCCAAAGCTGTTAATTTTAAATATATTATGCCTAGAAAAAATAATACATAGTAACTTAAAAAGGGTAGAGTACTCCTACACCATGCCTGCTGGGCATGTCTTCGCATAATATGTCACTATAACTTAAAGTAGAGACGTATAAAACATGTACCTCAGAAGCTGCACGATAAGCTACAGAAGGCTGTCTGGGAGATAGCCGTTTAAATATATAGAGGCTCAGAGTTTGGCTGTGTGTGTTTCTCCATTCTGGATCAACATGGTAAAAATAAAGTTGACGTTTCACCCCACGTAGCGTATTTCTGACATTTGCAAAAATCTCACTGATGGTTCAGTACAAAATATATATCTTCTTTGTGACTTTGAAAGAGACATTTATCACAGAAAGAAATAATTACTTATACTGCTGATTTTATTGAGTTCATTTCAGCTTGTTTCCCAGAATAAGTCATATCACCACAAATATGCTCAAACAAAATACTTCAAACAAGACAGGGCAGGACAACCCCAATCTGCACAGAACAGGCAATTGCCCAAGTAAAACAAAATGTTATTCCAACAATATAACATTTATTAGTTTTTTTTTTATTTCTGTTGCTAACACACCATGAAGGAAAAGGAATTCACTCTTGTTAGTTATTATATAAAGCAGTTTATAATAAAACTCAATTGTCTATGTTAATTTTTTAAAGGTAACCAAATTAAGGTGAATAGTTATGGTGGTTTTGGCTACAGTGAAAGCACTACCTTTGAAAATAGACTTTCTCTTGATTTAATTCCAGAATTTACTGATGATCCTCTAAAAATAACATGTTCTATCATTAGACTTTGAAAATAATGATAAGTGCATATCCTTGAACCAGAGTATTTATGTAAATACAACCATGATTTAGATTCATAATCTTTAAGTTGGTGTAGCTAAACAGAGCTTTCCTTTTCTCCTTTATAAATTGAGAAGCTTGCATTATGGGATGTCTAACAACACCCCTCGTCTCTACCCACTGGATTCCACTAACTCGTCCTTTCCCCTCCTCCTTGGGCACTGGAAGTTTGTACCTTAATTATGAAGAGTGCTATGGAAACCCACAGAGCAAAAGGCTTATAAGTATATTAATTCAGGAAACACTACTTTACTAGCTTAAATTGAAAATAACTATTAATTTTAGGGAATAGTATGCATTTATTAATCAATTCACTTCTCAAATAGTGCCTACAACATGGCGAGCTCTGTTCTGGACATGTAACCAGTAGATCAGACGAAGTTCCCTCCTCTCATGAAGTTTAAATTCTAGCATAGGAGACAGAAAATAAATAATTTCAATTAGTGCTAACAGCTATGAAGAAAACAAAACTGGATATTATGAAAGAAAATGAGCAGGAATAACAAGACAGGGTAGTCATGGGAGGTTTCTCTAAGATGATATTTGAGCAGAGACCTGAATAATGAGATTAAAAACTAGTCATTTGAAGAGGAGGTGAAAGAATTTTCTAGGTAAAAGGAAGCCATGTTCCAAAGAATAGAAAGACATTCATCGTAGTTGGCAAAGAGAAAATGGTACATGAGAGTGGAGAAGTGAACAGGGCAAATTCCTGTAGGGCCTTGTAGAGCAAGTGAGGAGGCATAGGGAGGCGTTAAGGAGGAGAGTGATAGAATCGAACTTATATTTTTACAATATTACTCTAGTTGCTACGCAGAGAAAGGGTTTTAGTGGGAAAAAGTGGAAGAAATAAAAAGAGGGCTGGAGTCCAGGGGAGACTACAGTGCCAGGGCTGAAGAATGAGGGAAGTAGATGGATTCAGAATAGTAATTGGAGCTCACAAGAATTAACTTCTACTTTAAAGGACTGTTATTTATTTATGTTCTATGCTTTTGTTCATTCTTTCATGAGGGGCTTCTTTATTTTTCTTTTATGTAGAAGCTCAGACCCTTACAGCTGGAAGTAGGTATGCTCTAATTCTTACTCAGTGCGGTAGTGCCAGTCCTGTAACCCGGACAGACAGCCAGTAGGCTTCTACTGAGAGATCCTATCTCACAAAACTATCTTGTGAGATTCGTTATTATATTACACAGGTCATTATAACATTGAAATCAGGCTAGCATTCCATATGTTTAGTCAATAAGTACCTACTTTGTGATAATTATGTGTCAAGTACTATAATAGACTGGGAATGATGTGGTATCACAAAACTCACCATCTTTCAGGGAGCAATGAACAGAAACTGAAAATCCAATGCAATAAATAAGCCACTTAAATTTTATTTTCTAGAGCAACTCACATATATTCCTTCTTCCTCAAGGCAACCTTTCAAATATCTGAAGACAACTATCATGTCCCAACACCCCAAGCCTTCTCTAATTCTTTTACTAATAATTTATTAAATATTTATTGAATACTCACTATAAGACAGACACTGCTTTAGGTGTTGGGGACACAGTATTAAAACAAACAAATACAATTTCTGGGTCATGGAGCTTACTTCTAGTGAGGGGAGATATAATAATAAAAAAAAAACAACAACAAAAAACACCCAAACTAATAAATGGGCAGCATGTCAGGTGGTAAGAAAATAGGTCAAGGAAAAATAGGAAATCTCAGGCAGGTGGGAGGATTGCTATTTGACATAGACTAGTCAGGAAAAGCCTCTCTGAGAAGGGGACATATAGGTAAGGCACTAAGGAACAGTCGCCAGGCATTGTACTTGGACCTGGGTATTCTGTCCACAGGTGGCAGAGGGGTGAGGCTAAAGCATCAGCAAGTCCACCCTGAGCGAGTTATCTTTAAATTGAAACCTCAAGATACATAGGAATCACAGGGATAAATTGTACGGATGAGAAAAAGCAAGTGCAAAAACCAGGAGGTAAAGAGAGAACAAAGAGAATGAGAGGGATGACCAAGCTGCAGTGTAGCAAAGGCTAAATATCCCAGATATCTCAACTGGATTTTTTAGGACATGGGTGTCCGATACACTACCAACCTAAGAGAGCCCTCCTCTGCAGGTACTTTAATTTTGTTCATGTCCCCCAATGGGGGAGGCCATATTTCTTTCAGTGTAGCCCCAGACTGCAGGCAGGCATAATCCATTTGATTTGTAATCCATCTGAGCCACTAAATGTTTTTGTTTTTTTTTCTCACATGAAATAGTTGTGAAATAGGTACTTGAGGTTTCTTAGTCCTGATGGAAGCTTATGTTCCAGTCTGAGAGGGTGGGGCAGGGAGGCAGCTGGAGACAGACGGGTTTGGAAAATGGGCTAATTCCAAGCCCCCCACACTTTCCTTTTCCCTTTCCTCCCCTGCTGGGGGATATGGCTTCACTGTGTCCATACATTCTTGCTTCCTGTTCTAGTACGCCTGCTGAGAAAATGTGAGAAATTTCTGCAAATTAAGCACATCTATTTTAACACTCTTTGGGGTTTTGGGGCTCTCTGAAATCACATTATTTCCATTCTTTTGCTAATTAATATAACTGTAACTTTACTATTCTGCAACCCAAGCATACCCCAGGGTGGAAAACAAAAACCTCAACTGTCACTATGTAATGTTGTTATCTTTTAATCAAGACTTTACATCTACCTTTAAGTTTATTCTATGTGCCTTCTGTTCTTGGTTTCAATCCCCTCCATTTCACTCCGTGCCTGCCCTGATTGTGGCTGCTGCTTAAAAAATTCATTTGTATCTGTTGGGAAAGCGGCCCCTTTACAGAATATCTTCTTTAATTCAGAAGAACTGGCATTCCAGAAAAGTAGGAAATAGTGCCATTTAGGTCCCCAAATGGCTGTGTATCTGTTTGCTCAGCCGCTCGCCATTGTTTCCAATGGGCTGAAATACACAACTAATGACTTGCTTCTGCTTTGCAGACCTCTCAGCTGCTGACTGGACACAGTGGGTGACACCTAAAGCGACCTGGCAGTGCTCTGGCAGCACCTGTGAGGAGGCTATCCTTCTCCTGATGCCGGGGAAGGCAAATCATTCCACTTCACACAGGGACCTGGGAAGGATGTAACAGGCAGGTTCTTAAATAAGTTTAGGATTTACTAGGTTTTACTACTCTATACCACATGTTAGTTCTACTCCCTGAAAATTATCGTTTTACTTTTATTCCACAAGGATCAGATACATAATAATGAACACAACAAATAAGGTCGTTGCTTTCATATAGCTTATAGCAGTGATAGAGAACCTATGACACAGGAACTCATTTTTTTGGTTGATTTTTCTTTGTTAAATGGCATTTAAATATATAAAATAAATATCAAAAATATAAGTCTTTGTTTTACTATGGTTGCAAAAATAAAAAAGTTTCTATATGTGACACGGCACCAGAGTTGAGTTAGGGTTTTTCAAAATGCTGACACGCCGAGCTCAAAAGGTCCGCCATCACTGGCTTATAGCCTAGTGACAAGTGATTCTACAACCACAGGTTCAGTTAAACTTACAGTTTCACCTCTAAAGCCTTTGTCACCTCTGGGTCCCTAAAAGAAAGAAAAAGATGTTATTTAGTGTTATTCATAGTTATTTACCAAACATAGTTGAGGTTGTTTACAGAAACAAAATAATTTGTTTTTAATCTAGCATGACTTGTTTATACATTTATATAAATTCTAGTTGTTTTCTTTTCCTAAGGAAAAAAAGAGTAAGACAAAAACAAAAACAATCTATTGATTTATCTGGCTGTCTGTTTTGCAATCCCTAGCTCCACCTTAAAGAGAGACAGGGAAAACAGCTACATATTTATTCAAATAAGTCCAAACAGCTGACTGACAGTCCATCACAACAATTTAGAAAGGAAATTATAGGTTAAATCCTTCTATTTGTTTTCCTCAGGCCTTGAAAACCTTGTTTCTAGGGAGGTTTCCGCTTCTATCTTCTTCTCATTCTATTCCGCCTTCTGAGCTGATTCCCAATGATGCGTTATATACATTTGCTTTCAGTTTAAAATACGTTCTAATTTTATTTCAAACTTCCTCTTTGACCCATGTGTTATTTACAGGTGTGTCATTTAATTTACCAGTGTTTGAAGATTTTCCTAGTATCTTTCTAGTTTATAGACTTTTAGTTTAGTTCCATTATGGTCAAAGAACACACTTTATTTGACTTCAGTTTTTTTAAGTTTAGTAAAATTTGTTTTATGGCCCAAAATATGATCTATTTTGGCAACGGTTCCATTGCATTTGAAGAGAATGCATAATCTGCTATTGGGTAGATCTACTGCTTTTTAAACTGTTAATATTTTTGTGTTCAACCTTGTGGAAACTATATATACAGTTTTTTAGTAAAAATGAGATCATACTATTCATCTTTTCTGTAACCTGGATTTATACCTTTACAATATAATATGAATGTTCTTCCATACACATTCCTTTAGATAATTATAATTTTAATTGTGATAATATTTTATTGAATTTCACATTAGATTTTTTCTAACTTTTGTCATAATAATTAATACTGTGATAAATTCTGCTTAAGGAAATTCTGATAGAAATTGCCCTGACAGATTGTTTGAAATTGAAGGCACACCTGCAATAAATGGGAGTGTATACTGCTTTTGAAATGTGCATGTTCTGTCATTCTTTGTTAATCTTGCAAACGAAAAATACTACCTCATTTATTCACCATTTGTATTACTTCTTTTGTATTTGCTATGCTGTCCTTAACCCATTTAAAACTAGGATGTTAACTTTTAAAAATTTATTTTAAGATATGATTACATATTTTGTTACACCCTCTACCACCTCCAACCCAGTTGGTACATATCTCATTATAGATTATTCTAATCAAATATTGACAAATATGTTTACATATATTTGGAATGATTGGTCAGGGTTTATAATATTAATATCATATTATATACTCTTCTATGCATCATATTTTTCATACTTAACAATACATTATAAAATAACTGCAAGTCAGCCAAACTAGATCTAACTAATTTATTTAAATATTTGCATTATCCTATATAATAAAAGGCTAATAGGCAAATCGACCGAATGGCAGAACAACCAGTCACTATGACATGCACTGATCACCAGGGGGCAGACGCTCAATGCAGGAGCTGGCCCCTGGTGGTCAGTGTGCTCCCACAGGAGCCTAGCCAGAAGCTGGGTTCATGGCTGGAGAGCACAGCGGCAGTGGCGGGAGCCTCTCCCACCTCCGTGGCAGCACTAATGATGTCCGCCTCTGGGTAGCAGGGTAAGCCAGCAATTGGACATCCCCTGAGGGCTCCTGGACTGCAAGAAGGCACAGGCTGGGCTGAGGGACCCCCCTCCCCCCCCCCGCCCCCCAAAGGCATCAATTTTGTGTACCAGTCCTCTAGTATTCCATAAAACGGTTAGGCCACAAGATATTTAGCCATTCTTCTACAGATGAACATTCATGTAATTTCAAGCTTTTTTGCCTATACAAACTGTGCTATGAAAAAAAATCTTTTAAAAATTTCCTTAGTATATTAAGTGTTTTTTACTCCTATGGGATAAATTCCATTAAGTGGAACTGCGTGCCGGAGGAAAACTGGTGCGGGCAGAAAACTGGTGTCGGCAGCCAGGGGAAGGAAGGCCTATTGCACGAATCTCTTCGTACAATGGGCCTTTAATATATATATATATAAATTTATCTTTTCATAAAGGCTGCAATTCACATTTCTACCAGTGATAAATGAGAGTACTGTTCTTCCTACATCCCTTTCTGAGAGGTTGGATATAATATCTCATTATTACCTTAGTTGCATTTTCCTAACTAATAGTTATATAGCATCCTTTCAAATAATTTTTGATCTTTTGAATTTGTTCTTTGTTTTTCTATTGAGTTTTTCATACCAATTTCTAAAATCTCTTTATACATTAGCCCATTATATATTGTATGCTTTGCAATTATTTTTTCCCAATTTATACAGAGGTGGACAAAATTAGGTTTACAGTTGTGAGTACATGAAACAGTTTACTCTTATGATTTCTTTTACAGTTTTCAGATTTCCTATTTTATATAAATGGTCTCCCTAACCCTTAAGCTATATTCTAGTTTTCTAAATAACTTTCTAAAAATTTTAATTGTTTCACTTTTCTTACATTAAAGTATTTCAAAGTTCATCTGGGATTTAAAA